CGCTCAAACTCACCCCCTACTCACCCTAACTCTTCCTCCCTCCCCCTCCCCCTCATCTCTAATACTCACCCTAAAACCCTTCCTCCTCCCACTCACTCTCTACTCACCCTAACCCTTCCTCCTCCCCCGCACTCGCTACCTCCCACCCCTACTCACCCTAACTCTTCCTCCTCCCTCCCCTCACTCCTCTACCTCACCCTAACCCTTCCTCCTCCCCCTCACTCTCTACTCTTACCCCTACTCACCCTAACTCTTCCTCCCTCCCCCTCCTTACTCAAACCTATTACCCCCTCCTCATAAACTTCACACAACCACACACCCCACCTCACCTCACCCTTCTCTTCTGATCCCTCATCACGCTAACCTTTCCCCTCTTCTCACCTCGTCCCTATGTGACCTCACCCAGAGGAGTGTTAGCCATGCTACATTAGCCACTCATAATGCTCAATGACACACAGCCCTTGTGACTGCACAGAGAAAACCAAGGTCCATGTCCTGTATGTTAGCAGGCTGGCCCCAACCACACATCGCTGGGGAAAGTATGTGTGCTCAGTCCATTCTACTGAGGAGAGTCGTTGTGTGCATTGCTGAAGAGTGAGAGCGTGTATAGCAGAGAAGTGAGTGACTGAGTGTGCACCATGTAGGGCGTGTGAACAGTGCATATAGTCTGGTGTGTGGTAAACAGAGTAGTGGACAGGGGGAAGGATACGGAGATAGAAGGGGTCTGTCTTCTTCGCCTGGTCGGTCGGTCTGTCTGTCTGTCTGTCTGTCTGTCTGTCTGTCTGTCTGTCTGTCTGTCTGTCTGTCTGTCTGTCTGTCTGTCTGTCTGTCTGTCTGTCTGTCTGTCTGTCTGTCTGTCTGTCTGTCTGTCTGTCTGTCTGTCTGTCTGTCTGTCTGTCTGTCTGTCTTCTGGAGACAATGATTACACACTGATCCTGCCTGCCCTCCCCAAGCTCTAACTGAGTGAGACAAACTCAGATCAAATTACAGGCCTGAAGACATGGAGGACGTGAAGGGAGAGAGAGTAAAACACACATCACAAGGGTGATGGAGAGCACCCACACACACACTATCTCTCTCTCTCTCTCTCTCTCTCTCTCTCGCTCTCTCTCTCTCTCTCTCTCACACACACTCACACTATCTCTCTCTCGCTCTCTCTCTCTCTCTCTCTCTCTCTCTATCACACACACACAGAAATATATTTCATTTCTCTCGCTCACGCTTCCTGTAAATTCGTACATATTCACACTCCCGGGGGCACAATCCGTGCAAGCAACAGTCTGTTATTAGCACCAAGAGACTGAATATGTCCCAGTACATCATGGCTCTAGAATAAAACAGGCATGACCTAGCAAACACCCTGCAAACACACACATTCCAATTAACCAACCTCCACTGCCATTTCGTTTTTTCAGCCTTTAATGCACATGACTGACAGTATCAGCCTGCTATAGATACTCTGAAGAGGGGCTGTCTTCATTATCACCACCCACCCATGCCTTTTAATGGCTCTGAGTGTGAGAATCACACAGAGGTCCGTTAGACCAGCTGATAGGGAGCAAGCCTGTTTTTTGGGAACACACAATAACCCGCCACCTTCCCACTCAACGCTCTGCAGCCCCCTGTCCATAGCAACCTATCCTCTCCTTTCTAGATGATGTCCATAAAAGCAGGCTGTTCACAGGGACATCAAACCTCTCTGCCTTCACAACAACCCCTGCCTGGCTACCCCCTCCCTCTATGCCCCCCATCCCTATCCCGTTCCCAATACCGTATCACATATCAGCCCTCTACCCCGTCCGTATATTTGTATATTTTTATTTAACCTTTATTTAACCAGGTAAGCCAGTTGAGAACAAGTTCTCATTTACAACTGCGACCTGGCCAAGATAAAGCAAAGCAGTGCGATAAAAACAACAACACAGAGTTACATATGGGGTAAACAAAACATAAAGTCAAAAATACAACAGAAAATATATATACAGTGTGTACGAATGTAGTAAGTTATGGAGGTAAGGCAATAAATAAATAGGCCATAGTGCAAAAATAGTTACAATTTCGTAATTAACACTGGAATGATAGATGTGCAAAAGATGATGTGCAAATAGAGATACTGGGGTGCAAATTAGCAAAATAAATAACAATATGGGGATGAGGTAGTTATATGTTTCACATACCTATCCCCAACACTCTACCCCACTCCAGACATGTCCATGTAATCTCTCTGGGCCGGCGCGGGAAGATGACATGGGTCAGGGCTGGGCACTCAGCTCCCTCTGAGAGGGTGGGTAAATATAGAGTTGACCCTATCTGAAATTGCTTCTGATATTACCCAGGCCCCAGCGGGACCACTTCAGACTGTCACACAGGACCACAGATACAGCCAGGTGGAGAGATGGACAGAGAAGCTGAATTTTGGTTTGGGGGGGGGGGGGGGGGGGGGGGGGGGGGGGGGGGGGGGTGTTTACAGAGGAAACAGAATACAGAGTTGGAGTAGATGGGTCATTGTAATATTGCAACATTGCACAACATTCCAGTAATGGTACGCAATAGGATATACCAGAATGTCCACATTTTCCTGTTGGTGTTTTGCAAAGGAGTTTCCTTCAATCCATACTGTTCCATCAATGTATTTAACATAGAATACTGTACACTGAGTGTATAAAACATTATGAACACGTGCTCTTTCCATAACAGGTGAAAGCTATGATCCCTTATTGATGTCACCTGTTAAATCCGCTTCAATCAGTGTAGATGAAGGGAAGGAGACAAGTTAAAGAAGGATTTTTAAGCCTTGAGACAGTTGAGACATGGATTGTGTATGTGTTCCATTCAGAGGGTGAATTGGCAAGACAAAAGATGGAAGTGCCTTTGAATGGGGTATGGTAGTAGGTGCCAGGCGCACCGGTTTGTGTCAAGAACTGCAATGCTGCTGGGTTTTTCATGCTCAACAATTTCTTGTGTGTACCAACAATGGCCCACCACCCAAAGGACATCCAGCCAACTTGACACAACTGTGGGAAGCACTGGAGTCAACAAGGGCCAGCATCCCTGTGGAACGCTTTCGACACCTTGTAGAGTCCATTCCCCGACGAATTGAGGCGGTTCTGAGGGCAAAAGACTAATAAGAAAGAGAGTTCCAAACCTCTCTGGCGATAGCAGCTAGTTTTCAGTTTTCCCCTCCCCACTCAGGCCACTCCCAGACAGTCCTAGCAAAATTCTTGCTTGAGAAATTGATCTTTGCTAAGAAGCTATTTTTGTTTATTTTTGACCATTTTAATTGAAAACAATCATAGTAAGTTACTTAACAGCGAAGGAAAGTACATTACTGATATACAGTAGGCTCACCAAAGTAATTTAGATCTCTATATGGCTTTTAGAGCACCACTACATAACGTGACCATGACAGGCATTACCACATACAATTTTCCATAAACACATGAATATTATTGACAACAAAAATGTTTTGTCAATATTATAAAAATTGAAAGTGGCATCACAGAGAGTTATAAAAGGTGTCTGAGGGATGGTGTGGAAATCCACCTCAAAATGAAAGATCAACACATAGTGAAACCAAGAGGGATGGAGTGAGGGGGTAACTGAGCCAAGTGGAAAAAGTAATTTCATTCTGAGTCGTGATTAAAGTGTAGCTGGGGGCTGATAAGAAAGGACTGGGTACATGACAGTTCTGAGGAATCCCTTGACGTCAGAGGGGAGCACGACTCTGAGCAGAGCATGTGGAGAGTTAGATTTGAGTGTGCAGAGCAGCCTGCACTGTAGAATGTGTGTGTGTGTCTGTGTGTGAGGCCTGATGGTGACTCAGCAAAACATGGTCTGCTGGGCCTGTATGACCTCGTTCATCAAGCTGACACTCGGCTCTGTTCTCCCCTCTCATGATTCAGTGAGAGACAGTGAGAAGGTGAAAGAGAAAGGGGAAGAATGAGAGGGTAAGATAAGAACAACAGAGTGAGGAGGAGAAACAGAGGCATTAGCAAGGCGAGAGAGAGGGGAGGAAGAGAGAGAAAAGAGTGAGAATGAAAATGAGAAACTGTGAGGAGAGAGTGAGGGAGCCAGACGATTGGGAGGAGAGATAGGGAGAGTGGTGAAAACAATGAAAGAGACATTGACAGCACTAACTCCGTACTCTCCAACTAGAACACAGTAACGTCACCTCATTGACCACACACTGGCCATAAACACCTAGGACATGATTCAACAATGTAATTGTAACCCCGGAGACAGCTATTCCATTACCGCACATTGCTTATTTAAACATTCTGTATGAACCAGTACTGTCAAGATGTCCAGCATACTGCAACAAAGCCATCTGGTGTCCCTCTGCACGCTTTAAATATACACATGGTCCTTCTTCCTCAGATAGAGCTTCATAATGAGCCATGTCAGTGCTGCTTCACAACCTTGTACTTTACATGGTCTGTGGGTAAAATAAAACACCTCTCAAAGTGTTAATATAAGGAGGCCTCATGATGTGTAGATACGAAAACCAAACAAGTAAACATTTCATTTGACAGCTGACTAGGGATGACAGTGCGTTTCACCACATACCAACAACCTCCTCCCCTTCTGGTTCTACAGTTCCAAGTTTCTCATCTCCCCAGCAACAGCATGTGTGTTGGGTCAGGGAACACCCCGTGCCCCTGGCAGGTGGTAGTGTTGTGGGCTGATAAAGTGTGGGCGCCTGCTGCTGACCCCCACCAGAGCAGACGGCACAGACACAGAACTGTGATAACGACCATGTCTCACACACTAGCTACTGAACCCTCTCAACCCAACAGGAGCTAGTTTGAAGATCTAGTACACATTAGAAATGACTAATGGAGTCCACACTAGAGATGGTAAGAACCCCAATACTTTATAAATCTTTGGAGAGAATATGGCAAAGTGTAAATGTTACCTGCTCTTCATGAAGTTATGGAAGTATCACATTTGAAAATGTTGCAATTAAATCTCAGTAGATCAGGAAATGAGTCAAGCCCCCCCTTTCTTTTTTTTTATTATACAAAATTCTTTATTTTTCAAGATTTTTTTGGTATGGCTTCTTTGAAGGGACTGGAAAATACATTTTGCTGAAATGGTCTACAGAGTCTGATCCCAGCCAGCAGCCTGTGAAACTAAAGCATCTAGAGTTGTGCATACAGGAAAATCCATTGGTTCCCAGGAAAAATGGAAAAGAAAAATATGTCCATCATCAAATTAATAAAAGACACATTTGTGGATCTGTACATACACTTACCAAGTTATAGGACTTCAGTGCTGCAACTATTTAGACCAAGTTACAAAAACCTTAACTTAGAATTTCCTATAAATACCTAAACATAAATATTGTAAATGTACTTGATAATTGAAACATTTAAAAATACTGTACATGAATGTCCTTTTTGAGAGATCAACATTTGACAATCTTAGATTAACAGTTACGAGACAAAACAAACAGGTACTGGTTATTGGTGTCAGCTACCTTGCACGTCAACGCCCAATGCTCTTTGACCCCTCCTCCCACTTACTGCATATGATTATCTACATCTGTCTCCAATAATCAAGACAAAGTGAGTCAATAGACTACAAGAGTGTCTGGTATAAATATGAAGAGCCCAGGCCATGTGAGTTAAGGAAGGGGGTAAAAGGAAGTGTTTGTAAAAACAGGAGTTTTATTAAGGCCTCTTTAATAAAAAAATATTTAAAAATGTAGTCCTGACTTCTAACGATTTCACATCGTCTCAGAGAAGGGGATCCCAGAATCTCTTTGCTCTCCATTTAGTCCTTGATGACCTCTGAAAGGCCCAGAGGGAATCATGACCACCCATGGTGTTGGAGCAGTAACACTGGGGGTGTATAAGAGGGCAGAGTCCTCACCTCTGGTGTGGATGGAAACAGTTGGCACCGTGCCTCCCACCAAATGCCCAACCACTATGTATCCAAGCAGCAGTGCCTTCACTTAACCCATGCCCTGGCAAAGAGGAGGGGGATGAGGGGTCAATGTCCAGGTAAGAACACCCTTCGCTCTCTTCAAATACAAGTATGTAGCGTGGTTTTTTTGTTGATTGAAACAAAAATATATAATAATTACACTGATAATAAAAGGATACTAACATTGATACAATAAAAGATAGACAGTAATAATAAAAATGAAGTGTCTGCATCTGGAAGCCCTCAGTGACTACGTGTTTTATTCTAGCCTCCCACCCTGTCATCAAAACTCTCCCACTTCCTCTCCAGACCCACGAGGAGGGGGTTCATCCTGATGCTACAGTGCAATAGTCCCTCTCTCAGCCCATTCCCTGAAAGCCCTGGCTGTGGCATGGGCAGCCCAGGGTGACACCCCAGGCCTATAGGACTACTTGCATCCTGCCTCTCCTCACTGCATGCGGTCTGGCTGGACGTGCTGCTGGGGGGCGTACTGCAGGAAGGCGGGCGCTGGGCCTGCCCCTGTGGGGAGGGTCTGGTGAACACTGGCGGAGGCCTGGGAGGGGGCGGCGGCAGGACTGGGGGCGTAGCCGTAGCCCAGGAACCCTGGGGAGGCGGCATAGGGGTACTGCTCGAAGGCGGCCTGCGCGTACTGGGCGTAAGCGGCACTGTAGTCCAGGTAGGGGGAGCTGACGGAGGAGGACACCTGAGAGGGGAGCACCAGGCTGGGCTGAAGGTAGGCCTGGGGGTACACATACTGCTGGGCCAACCTGGAGAACACAGACAACAGGACACAAGTTACATACTGGAAAATACAATGATGAACAGGAGCAAAGAAAACCAAGGCCTGGATTCTGTCATTTACGTTCTCCAGTAGGGTTAGCAGGTCTTGAATATACACTAGAGTTGTGCTGTGTATGTGTTGTGTATCCACAGTAGTGGTGGGCAAGAAACTAGCCAGATGCCACGCCACCCACTAAATGTGACAAAGAGCGAGGTAAGGAGAAGAGATCAACATCTCTCGTCAGTTGAAAACCTACAGAACCTGTTAGGTAGGGCCCCCCAGAGAGAAAGGGAGGGGGTGTGTGGTGGTGGGCGAGAGACAGCCGTTACTGGCAGGTTTTCAAGCCCAGACACCACAGTGTTTTAACAGCTGCTACTCTTCACTCGCCGAGTACACACGGGAAGTGTGATGGCAGTAGCCGAGTTGTGGTTCCTGTTTTGTGCGCAAGTTACATTGGATATCAGCGCTTGAGAGGTGGGGAGTCAGGGCTTATCAAGGCAGGCTGTTAGCCAGTTGGGTCTGATGTGCTGTGCTCAAAGCTCTCTCGTACTAGTGATTAGTGTTATGGAGTCTGGGACAGCTCATTCTCCCCAGTCTGATGATGGCAGAGGAAGAGCTAGGGACCCCCCTGCAAAACTGGTGCCGTTTTTGAGACCCCCCCCCATCCTTAATACTGCAGCTGGAGGGAAACAGAAAACCTCCACTCACTGCAAACAGCACACATGAACCAAAAACTGAGTGAGAGAGGAGGAACCTTTCTTCAACCCTCTCACACGGAGTGTCTGGTAGGAAAAGGCAGTATGTTCACGGTGAATGAACGTCAAGACCGTGAAGCCACAGCACACAACTCAACACTTCTCAGCTCGGTCTCAATACGCTGATGGCTTCCTTTCCTTGTCTCCAACTTCACGGCCACTGATGGGGCAAAGGACCAGATAGGTTACCACCATATTGTGTTTACCAGTTTCCATTCAGATCAATGGCCATGACAGAAGACAAGGAAATGAAGCGATGGAAGACTATTGGAGAGCTGTCAACTCAAACACTGCAAAAAGGGAGCGTGCAGGGGTAAGGGGTGACAAGTCCGACGCACAAAATCCAATTGCAACCTGCCTAACACACCACACCCCCAAACCCTTCAGCCCCACACTGGAACAGCAACAGAAGTCCCCACTGCAAACCCCAAACCATGCCATAATAGGAAAGAGAGGCACTCTAATCAGCATAACCTGGCACGCCAATCCATCGCTGCACTTTCAAGCCATTGCTGGCACCTTAGAGAGGGGCGGGAGCAGTCACAGCTGCCTGCTACCCTCCTCCTGGGAGCCTCCAAACAAGGCAGCACGAAGCCTGCACCTCGGGTATCTTCTCTCCCCCCTCCGGCATACTGTTCAGCTGGGAGCACAGAGCAACCATGATGGGGTTGGGGAGGATAGTGGGGGTTAACAATAACATGCATTCATCATCAGATTCCTCATTAATACTATTGTAGCGACGCAGCACGAGATGGCTCCGTCATATGGTGAAAGTGAAGCTAGTGGCTAAGCTTTTTCGCAACGTCAAAGACATTATGTTGATATGATACAGCAGTCTACACCACTGTTGCCTGGGTTCACTCACATAGCAAGTATTTATCTGTGTAGGTAGGCATTGAATAGTTAGGACACTGTAGCCTGCTGAGTGCTATACACTAACAATAAGAAAGTACATGATCGCTATAGAAGGAGGTAATCGGAATCAGGAGCCCGTGGCAGAGGGAGCACATTGTCCACCCCTCTAACGGTCAGCTCCTCACAAAGAACCATTCAGACACCCCCACAGACAGGCACTGACAGATGACCATGCAAGACAGTCAGGCATATGCACATTCACACACAGATGAGCCTCTCCTTTCTGTGGCCTTGTAATAGTGTGGCCACAGGCCTCTAGCTCTGACCTCTGGATGAACTTTCTGAGGCACATTATTAGGAAGTACAACAAAATATGGGTCAATGCTGCAATCTTGATAGAAAAGTTAACAAAAACGACTAAAAGAGGATGAGAAGTGCGTGCAGAGAGAAGAGAGCGGAGGAGAGGAAACAGGGAAGCAGAACAGAGCAGTGAGCTCTAACCGAACCGTCTGACATCACAGGGCCTGTGGGGGTCTGGGTGACAAGAGGGATCAGAGGTCAGCTGTCTTTTTTTTTTGCTGACGGCCAGCGGGTGTGACACATGCCACTCGACGGATGACAGGGAGGTGGGGCTGGCAGAGCAGAAGGACTGACGAACCAAGCAGACAGACTGACTTCCTCTAGCCATTACGTTTAAGTCATGGTGAACAAATCAAAGGGCTTCATCAAGTCAAGCTAAAGGGATCTATAAGAGGGAACATTGCCCCGCCCCCCCACAAACATTAAACCCCTCACTCCAATCTACACACCCTATTCCCTCCCACAGTCTCACAGTTGTGTAAATTCAGTGTCGTTCCGACACCCAGCAGAAACGGTGTTCAGACAAGACAGAGCCCAGTTTCCTTTTCCTCCACAGGCAAGAGTGAGAGGGGAGGACAAGAGGGAAGTAGACTATGGGAAAGTGAAGGAGAGAAGTAGTCCCTGGCCTCGCTAAGGGCTCAGACACCAACAGCGTTTGCTGTACTTAGTACCTCTGAACGTAATTTGCAAACCGAGTGTGCACCAATTTTACATGTAGCAGTCAGGCATCTACAGCGGGTGGTCCCTAAAACACTGCGCGCTGAACGATCAACAGACGAACATTCACATTCAGTGTGATGTGTGCGAGCCCCAACCCTGCCAGCTCCCCAGTCAATCTGCTGACTAGGAGAGGAAGAGGAGCACTATGCTACAGTCCAGTCTGGTCTACACAAATGCTCAATCCCTCCCAACCATCCCACCACATGCTGTTTAAGGGTCTGAGCGGAAGAAAGGCTGAAAGAACACTTGTGTGCTCTCCATCTTAGAGCAGCCTGTGTCTGTCACCGGCCCATAGAGATCTGTGCTCTCGCCCTCTTGCTGGGGCTGCAGTCAGTCACAGGGGATTAGGGGTGTAAACGACTGTAATAAGAGCCAACACCTGTTAGACATGCCCACAGAGCACGCTCCCCTGGGGGGCTCCACCCTGCCCGTTACTAAGCAACAAGCACATGGACGGGGACGGGGACTCTAAGGACCCAAAGTCCATGGACATGATATTATATTATTACATGCATGTAAGGGCTTGGACCTCTGGCTTACAGTAATTAAATCAAAGCTAGGACTTTGGAGGAGGGAGGGGTGGCAACACACGGGGGGGGGGGGGGGGGGGGGGGGGGCAGTTGTGTCTATCCCATTTCAGTGACATGGCCATTAAATGCCCAGCGGAGTGAGCGTCCTGGACACCCGTCACAGACTGGCCTGGGTTCAACAAGATACCTTTATTTGGCAGAGCAGTAGTAGATGTGTAATTCAGAAGATGCAGTACTGTGCTATATAGAGGTCACAAAGAAGGAGTGCTAACTCCCATTCACTTACCCATACTGCCTCTGCATGAGCGCTGGGTGAATAGGCTGCACTCCAATGGATATGCCTGGAAGATCGAGAAAATGACCCGTCAGACATTTGCAATGCATAGGAGAGGCAGAGAGACTGAGCAAAGTTCACTGAAACATGTAGAGTAACTCAAGCAACATACTAATAATATTGAACACATGCAGATGGCAAATTACGTCGGTGTTAGTTTTTTCCCCTCACAATTACCCAGTCCCCTAATATATAAAGAGTAAGAATGTTAATCCAGATGTATTTAAATGTTTGTACATTTCTGTCCGATGTGGCATGAGTAGCATATGTGATTTCTGAATGACCATTTACCAACAAATATGTCTAAAACATGCTGATATGGTGTGTGACAAGTGTAGTGTTGGTGCGTCCGGCGGTTGTACTCACCCCTGGTCGGCTCACCTATCTGCATACTGCGGGGCTTGGCGCCTATGTAAGCCAGGTTTACGTTGGCCTTGCGTCCGTCGATGATAGGGTTGGGGTCTTTACAGGCCCTCTCTGCTGCTCCCTGATCTAGCATCGTCACCTGACACGTAATCACACAGACGTTGACAATATTAGCAATACTAAAAAAAGACCAGTTCCCCCATTTTCACTAGTAATAAAATAGAAAGTAGAAGTCTACTCATCACCATATATGGCAGCCAAGCTATGAAAAAGTATTTCAAGGTTAGGGCCACCCCAACCCTCCAAGCAGAACAAAAGAAAACAAACCCTACTGGTCTGTCATCACAAATCTCCCTGTCCAGCTTCCACCGTTTAAATTCCCCTTTCTGAACAGAGGAGGAAACTGCACACAAAGCACAGTGATTATCACCAGAACACTTGGTCAACTGCCCAGCAGCTTGTCAGCAGCTCAGTCAGAGAGGTCTGCTGAAATATGGATCAGTAATGAATAACAAGGGCTTATCCAATTAGGCAATAGAGAATAAGGAGATTGTTAGAATCTACCCCTCCCTCCCCCTCCTTCCAAGGCATTAGACAGCATCACAGTCTGCTTTGATTGTTTTGTTCTTCTGCCAATTCAAGATCTCACATGACTACATATTTGGGTTTATCTGAGTTGTAGATCTATTCTAGCCTGTTGAGGGAAGCGTACCTCTTTAGACTAGAGGAGATGTTCTAAGCCCACTACAGGGCATGTGTTGTGAACACAAATGAGCATCGAGGCTGTGTTGACACTGGAACTCTATTGAAGGGGGTCTACTAATCCACCTTTGGAGTGTGTTTAAAGGTAAGCCTGGCTTTGGAGACATTTTTCTCCTCCTACTACTGAAGCGGTGAACAACAGGATTATCGAGTTGGCCCTGTCAGTTAGTTACTGGGAAAACGCTGCTGGGTGTTTTTTGCCATCCGCTGCACGCAAGGTGGCGAACACCTCTTTCCCAGCCTGGAGCACCCTCATATGCCTGAGCCAGTCAGACCTGAAACACTAGACACACTCAGCAGCAGTAACCGTTTATGACTGAGCTCTACTGTTTTTTTTTTGTCAACGCTGATGTGTAAACACAGAGTGCCATTGTCTTACAGTTTTAAACTGGATGAGGAGTAAACACACAGCCTCTATTCGAGGCACCCGTTTTCCATTCCATCTTTGGCCTCTTAAAATGCTGATGCGCCTCTCCAAGTTTGTAGTAAATATTTGCATTTCTTCTGCTGTTCCTGCTCTTTGTAACTATGAGAAGGTGGGTTTATGTTTATCTGCATCATACATACTTTGTTAATATTTCCTGCTTGCAAAGGCTGATTACCAGAGGGTCATTAAGAACTCTGGCAGACAATCTGAATGAGCTGTATACAATGAGGAGCTGAAGATTTATAAAAAAGTTACTAGAACCATCTATGGTGATAAAACCCCTCTGTGGTGATTGGGAAAGCTGACACACAGGAGGGGGAAGTGCACCAAACTTCAATCTCTGACAAGGGGAGGTGTTTTGTGGGGTGGGGTGGTTCTGAGTCAGTCATGGTTCGCAATCTGTACTCTCATGTAGTGAGCAGCAGTCCATCTTGGGATACAAAATAATGACTCCCACTTTCACAGCAGTTATGATTCTATAAACACCACTTGTAAGGCCTGAGTGCTTCGGCTCTTTACAATGGGAGGAGGGTCTTGGAGCGTCCCTCGGCGCCAAAATTACCATATAAAGCAAAAGAGGACAGCTCGCACTTCCGTGCGTGCCTTTGCCGCGCTCATAAGCGATGAAGGCACATTAGACATGTGGAGCTATAATCTTATCCGTCAACTCATGTGATCCCTCATCCTGATTAAAGCTGTGATACAGTTAATCAGCAAGGCAAAAAAATGATACTCTGCATTTGTGCGTTTAAGAAGCACATTATAGACAAGGATTAACTTTGGCATGCGTTTGAATGACCGCAATACGCAAGGTGCAACTTTGGCGAAAGCATTTTATTCTGCATGTAATATTTGTAATTAAACAGACATTTGGCGCAGCATCACGTATACTTGTTTACCTCTATGCAAGTAAATCAGTTACATGGAACAATAACTTGGTGGTGGAAGGAAACGTGGCGTGCATGTGCCCAGAGACAACAGCATTGAAAACAAAAGTAGGCTATACCAACCATTAACATTTTATAGGCAACTCAATTTCCAGGGCTGCCTATTGAGAATTCTTCTCAAATGTATTTATTGGTAAGGCGCACTGCAAGCTGTAGGCTAATTGCATGACCGACAAGTGTCAGAATGTTACTTACAAAGCCATATCCTCTGGATTTCCCCGTCTGTCTGTCCGTTATCACCACCGCCTCGTCGATATCTCCGAAGGCCTCAAAATACTTTCTCAAGGAAGCATCGTTAGTGTGGTAGGGCAAACCACCAACGAAAATTTTTGTAAAAGTAGTGTCTTTTTGAATTGCTGTAGAATGCATCACTTCCAGGCCTCCGTTCATGAACTGATGCAAAAGCATGGCGAGCCGGTAAGGATAATAGGCTAAAGACTAGTGAACAGTTAAAGGTAGTTGGTTAACCAACTATTGATATTTGTCCAGCATCAAATGACTACGCAGCTGCTCGGTTCAAGCGATGTCTTCAAATAGGCGACAGGGGTCTGTTCTCGCTTGCTTTTCAGTTTTTCCTTCCGTGATTCAGTCTTTGAACTTCTTGTTACATGTGTATTTCAGTACACCCCTGTTCTTCAACGCATTCAAACTGTTTTGCTTTACTTGCCGCTATTGAAAATGTTCCGGGAGAGCCTTTATACTCGCCAAGCCTGATCACGCCCATTTTAGATGTCTGGCCTATAGGCAATGATTCAGGATGACATTTTTTTTCTCATGCAGTCAAGCGCTCCCATTCGCCCGACCCCAAGCGTTCTTCTTGCACCTGCTTTTGTCCTTTACTACACAAAGACAAATCACTACTGTACAGGCAGAAAGCGCGCCTCGCGCACATGTTACATTGTATCACTCTCGTAGTAATAAAGAAACAACTAGGCCTTTAACTCGGTTGTAAGTTACATTCAATTTAAAACAAGGGTGACATTTTCTATAATTATGCGGCGCATGTGATAATGATTTTAAATGCTCAACAATAGGCTTGCTAAAACACACGTATTACATACACACAAGTATAACAGTTCATCGTGTCATTCTAGATACTTCTCATATTGTTATAAATGCCAAATTTTCACAGCAATTTTCTAAATCCCCAGAGACTTAGCCTACTACAATGGGGTCAGAAGATAACACCGGTTGGCAAACAGGTAATTCCAATATAGGCTACGAATTACATGGATTTCAAGGTTTGTATACAACAATAATAAAAGGCTTTAAGCCACATTTTACACCTCAGTAGGTTCAAGTTTGGCCCAAACATAGACCTCTGTTTCACAAGTTTGGATAGCACGGTACAGCACAGCAAAAACCAGTAGAGTATAGTACAGTACAGTACAATACAGTAGAGTACAGTAGACAGAGATGGGCAAAAATTACAAAATACAATTACAAAATACTACAAAGATCAATGTATCAGAATAAATGACAAAATACTTATATTTTGTAATGTATTTAATTAACATATTTGTATAAAAAACAATTAAATACTAAAATACATTTGCAAGTAGCCAGCCCAAACAGCAACAACATTCTCATTAAAGGTTACCTAAACGTTTTACTTGATATGAATGTGATATGTTGTTGTTTATCTACCTTAGTTGAATGCACTGACTGTAAGATAAGAGTGTCTGCTAAATGACCAAAACGTATATGTGAAAATGAACATACCAAAATGAAATGCAAAGCACACTGGTTATTATTGTTGTCCTTATTTCGGGATGGAACTCATTAGAATAATCCTCAGCATGTTTTGGAATTGTTCATTTTTACATATAGGTTCAGTTCATTTAGCAGACACTCTTATTACACGAGAGTGCCATCAGACTTCTGATACCAATGTAGGGTGAAAGGTGGCTACAAAATTGTGAACCGCTATAAAAAAAAGGTATAGAAAAGTATTTTGTATTTTAAAAATACAAATTACAGCTCTTTAAAGTATCTTGTTACAAAATACATTGGACTGTAGTTCAGCCCAGTGTAAAACAATTATTATTATTATTATTATTATTATTTATTTAAAACAAAATAGTCAGAAGTAATTGAAATACATAGAGTGGGGAAAAAAAGTATTTGGTCAGCCACCAATTGTGCAAGTTCTCCCACTTAAAAAGATGAGAGAGGCCTGTAATTTTCATCATAGGTACATGTCAACTATGACAGACAAAATGAGAAAAACAATTCTCCAGAAAACCACATTGTAGGATTTTTTATGAATTTATTTGCAAATTATGGTGGAAAATAAGTATTTGGTCAATAACAAAAGTTTCTCAATACTTTGTTATATACCCTTTGTTGGCAATGACACAGGTCAAACGTTTTCTGTAAGTCTTCACAAGATTTTCACACACTGTTGCTGGTATTTTGGCCCATTCCTCCATGCAGATCTCCTCTAGAGCAGTGATGTTTTGGGGCTGTCGCTGGGCAACACGGACTTTCAACTCCCTCCAAAGATTTTCTATGGGGTTGAGATCTGGAGACTGGCTAGGCCACTCCAGGACGTTGAAATGCTTCTTACGAAGCCACTCCTTCGTTGCCCGGGCGGTGTGTTTGGGATCATTGTCATGCTGAAAGACCCAGCCACGTTTCATCTTCAATGCCCTTGCTGATGGAAGGAGGTTTTCACTCAAAATCTCACGATACATGGCCCCATTCATTCTTTCCTTTACACGGATCAGTCGTCCTGGTCCCTTTGCAGAAAAACAGCCCCAAAGCATGATGTTTCCACCCCCATGCTTCACAGTAGGTATGGTGTTCTTTGGATGCAACTCAGCATTCTTTGTCCTCCAAACACGACGAGTTGAGTTTTTACCAAAAAGTTATATTTTGGTTTCATCTGACCATATGACATTCTCCCAATCCTCTTCTGGATCATCCAAATGCACTCTAGCAAACTTCAGATGGGCCTGGACATGTACTGGCTTAAGCAGGGGGACACGTCTGGCACTGCAGGATTTGAGTCCCTGGCGGCGTAGTGTGTTACTGATGGTAGGCTTTGTTACTTTGGTCCCAGCTCTCTGCAGGTCATTCACTAGGTCCCCCTGTGTGGTTCTGGGATTTTTGCTCACCGTTCTTGTGATCATTTTGACCCCACGGGGTGAGATCTTGCGTGGAGCCCCAGATCGAGGGAGATTATCAGTGGTCTTGTATGTCTTCCATTTCCTAATAATTGCTCCCACAGTTGATTTATTCAAACCAAGCTGCTTACCTATTGCAGATTCAGTCTTCCCAGCCTGGTGCAGGTCTACAATTTTGTTTCTGGTGTCCTTTGACAGCTCTTTGGTCTTGGCCATAGTGGAGTTTGGAGTGTGACTGTTTGAGGTTGTGGACAGGTGTCTTTTATACTGATAACAAGTTCAAACAGGTGCCATTAATACAGGTAACGATTGGAGGACAGAGGAGCCTCTTAAAGAAGAAGTTACAGGTCTGTGAGAGCCAGAAATCTTGCTTGTTTGTAGGTGACCAAATACTTATTTTCCACCATAATTTGCAAATAAATTCATTAAAAATCCTACAATGTGATTTTCTGGAGAGAAAAAAATCTCAATTTGTCTGTCATAGTTGAACATTACAGGCCTCTCTCATCTTTTTAAGTGGGAGAACTTGCACAATTGGTGGCTGACTAAATACTTTTTTCCCCCACTGTATTTCAAATACATGTAACATAAATACTTCCCATCTGTGACAGTAGAGCACAGTAAAGTACAGTATAATGTACTATATTGTACTGTACCCCACTGTACTGTGCTCTACTGTACTATCCAAACTTGTGAACTATAGACGTCTGATTGGTTCAGATTTGGTCCGGACCGTCCAAATTTGGTTTTGCTTGGGGGTGGAGCTTATTAGAATAATACCCAGCATGCTTTGCTAGTGTTCATTTTCACATTTACATTTTGGGCTTTTAGCAGACACTCTTATCCAGAGCTACTTAGTGCACAGTCATAGCAAGAACAACTTTTTTGTAACCTTTACTGAGTGTTCTGTTCTGAAAAATTTGAACATGATCACTGCCAGTTCTAAAGCTTTGGAAAAGCTAACATAAGTGCATGTGACAGATGGGAGCAATAATAACTATTCCATACTGCAATCTTCAGTTTGATTCATTTTCCCATTTTAATTGGAATACATATTTTTTATGTGATATAATGCTTTTTTCATTGACATGTAGACATAAGTGAATGTACACTACCGGTCAAAAGTTTTAGAACACCCACTCATTCAAGGGTTTTTCTTTATTTTTACTATTTTCTAAATTGTACAATAACAGTGAAGACATCAAAACCATGAAATAACACATATGGAATCATATAGTAACCAAAAAAGTGTTCAACAAATGAAAATATATTTTATATTTGAGATTCTTCAAATAGCCACCCTTTGCCTCGATGACAGCTTTGCACACTCTTGGCATTCTCTCAACCAGCTTCATGAGGTAGTCACCTGGAATGCATTTCAATTAACAGGTGTGCCTTGATAAAATTTGTGGAATTTCTTTCCTTCTAAATGCGTTTGAACCAATCAGTTGTGTTGTGACAAGGTAAGGGGGTATACAGAAGATAGCCCTATTTGGTAAAAGACCAAGTCCATATTATGGCAAGAACAGCTCAAATAAGCAAAGAGAAACGACAGTCCATCATTACTTTAAGACATGAAGGTCAGTCAATACGGAACATTTCAAGAACTTTTAAAGTTTCTTGAAGTGCAGTCGCAAAATCCATCAAGCGCTATGATGAAAATGGCTCTCTTGAGGATCGTCACAGGAAAGGAAGACCCAGAGTTACCTCTGCTGCAGAGGATAAGTTCATTAGAGTTACCAGCCTCAGAAATTGCAGCCCAAATAAATGCTTCACAGAGTTCAAGTAACAGACATATCTCAACATCAACTGTTCAGAGGAGACTGTGTGAATCAGGCCTTCATGGTCGAATTGCTGCAAAGAAACCACTACTAAAGAAGAAGAGACTTGCTTGGGCCAAGAAACACGAGCATTGGACATTAGACCGGTGGAAATGTGTCCTTTGTTCTGGAGTCCAAATTGGAGATTTTTGGTTCCAACTGCCGTGTCTTTGTGAGACGCAGTGTGGGTGAACGGATGGTCTCCGCATGTGTATTTCCCACCGTAAAGCATGGAGGAGGAGGTGTTATGGTGTGGGGGGACTTTGCTGGTGACACTGTCTGTGATTTATTTAGAATTCAAGGCACACTTAACCAGCATGGCTACCACAGCATTCTGCAGCGATACGCCATCCCATCTGGTTTGGGCTTAGTGGGACTATCATTTGTTTTTCAACAGGACAATGACCCAACACACCTCCAGGCTGTGTAAGGGTTATTTTACCAAGAAGGAGAGTGATGGAGTGCTGCATCAGATGACCTGGCCGCCACAATCCCCCGACCTCAACCAAATTGGGATGGTTTGGGATGAGTCGGACCGCAGTGTGAAGGATAAGCAGCCAACAAGTGCTCAGCATATGTGGGAACTCCTTCAAGACTGTTGGAAAAGCATTCCAGGTGAAGCTGGTTGAGAGAATGCCAAGAGTGTGCAAAGCTGTCATCAAGACAAAGGGTGGCTATTTGAAGAATCTCAAATATAAAATATATTTGGATTGTGTTTAACCTTTTTTTGGTTACTACATGATCCCATATGTGTTATTTCATTACAATGTAGAAAATACTAAAAATAAAAAACTTTTGACCGGTAGTGTATGTATGGTTAAAATTTGGCCATAGAAACAATGACCAAAAAAATACTTATTTTCAATGTCTGGAAATTAATTTTTTTCAACTGTCTGGAAAATATGGCTTTTCAACTTTCATTCAGACCCGAAAATGAACCTGATTTTAACATCTGGAAATATCTTTTAAACATATTTTCAAAGTCATTTTGCTCACTGGGATAGCATTATTATAGGCCCACCACTGCAGAGCGCCCTTTATTATATCAACAAGATGGTTTTGCCAAAGCAGCCCATCATAAAACAAATGCTTGTGTCACGTTTGATTACAACCATGATAACAGCATGCAAATACCTCATAACTCTGTTTACTTAAACGTTGCTGTTATATGCTTCAGGGGGAGTTCACGGACTCCTAAATGGTGTCAGAGTCAGACAAGGTTGTATAACCAGGTATAGGGAGGGGGAGTAGAGCTATCAAATCAAATAATATTTATCAAATTGTATTTATCCCATCCAAGTCCAGCGCACAGTGACAAAATAAAGGTTATTGGGGGTAAGTTATTGTTAAAAAACATCCAGGCTTCTATTTCTTGAATAACCTGCCCTCTGATTTCATCACCAACGGTTTAAGCCACTGCTGAATGTTGCCATGCTCACAGTGGTCTCCAGTATAATATAATTGTTTAATTGTCTGGAGAACATGCCAGGGCAAGTACAATTGGACTGAGTGTGGGTCACCACCATTACTCCTGAATAAGACATTACTTTTCCAGTATATTCATAGCACCTCTAATTACTACAGGAGCATAGTACAGCCTATGGACTATGAAAAGATGGCGTGGAGAGGGTACAGGTAATGAAACATTGGGTTGTAGTATTTTTGTTGTTGTATTTTATTAGGATCCCAATTAGCTGTTGCTGACACAGCAGCTACTCTTCCTGGGTTCAACCGTCCACACAAAACATACAACATAACATAATACAGAACATCAATAGACAAGAACAGCTCAAGGACTGAACTATACACAAATGTAAAATAAGAACAATAGAACCAAATAAGGTCCTACTTGACAACACACTGAGAGAAACAGAGACCCATTACTCTAGGCCTACATCCAAATATATTACATCCAAGCACACAACAGTTTGTGAGGAGCCAGTGGACAGTAACACTGTAACTTCCCACCCTCGGTGCCTTGGAGCACATCTGCTAAGTACCTAGGCCCTGGCTGGCAGTGAGGTGACATTCTAATAACCACAATAAAAGGCATTTCATTCACACCTTCTCCATGACCAGTCCATCTTTTCACACATGGCCTTTGTAGCTCCCCACCACCCTTAATTCATATCCTACTGATAAATCCCAATCACAGGCTCCTTTACCACTCAACGCACTCTCCTGATTAATCAAACTGCACTGCTTTGATCCTCAACTGACCTCCCAACCTTTCTTTGTCTCTGTCTGGATCACAACAGGCGCAGAAAGGCAAAACACTCCACCTCGTGGCCACTTGGATTACAACACTGAGACATAAAAGAGCATCATGGTCATGTTGGTTCCAGTTTGAAGTTAATATATTCATGTTCTAATCATAGCTATACATATTTATTTACAGAGCACTGAAAAGTAAACAGTTCAACATTTTAAGAAATATGGTCTCACAGGAACCTAATTTCATAGTAATACATCCTGCATGTGTGAGAATCCAAACAATACTGATTCGCACACATTCAGTCAAACAGAATCAATGTTATTTTATGCAGAAGGTGTTCCTCAAAAATGGAAGAAAATGTGGGGCAAATTTGTTGAGTATCCAGTTTATATTTAGTCATTTCTCATTTGATATGTAGTAAACGTAAACGAGTTACACCACAAAGTGAGAGCAAATCAAATGACAACGTCATGTCTTTGGAAGGCGGTATAAAAACAAATAGCTGCACACATTAATGACATAAAACAACCCTTGAGTTCCTGCCTGACCAGATTGCAGACGCATGCCAGATCCTACAACGCCTGGATAGGATATCAGCTAACCACATCAGATGACATAGCAATCTGATGCCCGACTACAGAGTCGATGACGTGGCACACAACCATTGGGTGATGCAATGCAATGCCTGCGTATCCAGTCGGCCAGGAACTCAACCAAAAACATGACCGACAGTAACCCCTCCCCCATTACTATGACCCCATAAGACCAATAGTCACACAGCTGTCATCAATACTGGGCGAGTAGTCTCCTCTGATTGGTCCATGCACAAAATGCAAAACCACGCCAAGGCATAGGTCTCGATGTTTAGGAATGCACTGCAGGAATGCACTGAAAATCCTTATTTTTCCCACAAATTCAGAAGTTCTCAAATCTTCTCAAAGCGAGCCTTCTCCATTTCAGGAAATCACTGACCCTTCATGGCTAAGGGAGTCTATATGCACAGCATAGCTTGAACCAAAACTGACAGCCTGACTTCAAGTCAGTACACATGCAACTTCAAACTTAGCACTACACAGCAGCACTGAAAACCTCTATCACACTACTTTCAACAGAGCAAAACTAGAACCTGCATTCAAGGAACCATGGGATGCTGATGAAGGTCCCAGCTAGTGTCACAACGGCACTGAGGAAGGGGGGCAGCCCCATCAGGCGACATTGTCTCTGAGGTTACAGACAACAACTGTCCCTCTCTCACCATATCTTGTTCCAAAGCTTCAGCTCCTCAGCAGCATTCAGCAGGAAAATGTAGTTTTTTTAGTACTCATGCTCCTGGGTGTTCAGATATGACATGAGTTAGCAACTGACTGCATTAGAGTGCTAACACAAATGGGTTTAAGACAATACAATAGGTATACAGTAGATTTATGATTTTAGTGCAATCATAAATCTCACCTTTGACCAATCGTAGCTGGAGGCGTAGGCGAATATGTTGCCGTTGTTGTGGAAGCAGCAGGTGGTGATTGGCTGGTCCAGCTGCTCTGAGGTCTTTAACTTGGTGCGGGCATCTTTGTCCCAGAAGCTGAAGCGTCCGTCAGATCCCACAGTGGACAGTGTACCGTGGACAGGGTGAAAGGAGATAGCATTCACCTGAGAGAGTGAGGTAGAGGGGGAGGGACGGAGGGAGAGCAAGAGAGGGGGGGGTTAAGAGAGAGAAAGAGATATAAAATATGGTAAGGAGAGAGATAATGCTATGTTGTTTAGTTTGAAGACTAATTGACAACTACTCACATAAAGAAAAGGCACCATTACATTATTTAATAAAGACAAGGCAACATACAGCATACACAGCAGGTCTGGCATCTGCAGAGACATTATGGGACTAGGGGAGCATGTATCCAAGAACTGAGGAGGGGAGGGGGGGGGGGGACAAAGAGATGAGGGCAGGAGATCATCACATCTGACATCCTCCTTTTGTAATTAGAACCAATGACTTCGAAAGTGCATTTCATAACATTCTGAGAGATGACGATTCTCAAATGTTTAGAATGACAGTCTTCAGTGTTTTGTCCCAGCTGCCTGTCATATTACAGCTGTAGTTAGGAGCTTTTATCCAGTGGATTGTCCTGATAGGGCCATCATGCTAGGGGGTAAACATGGGTTTTCATCAAGATCATTTTATCATCATCCTTATGCTACTAGTCTGTTTGGGCAACATGGTTGAAAAGAAAGAGGAGGTCGTTACCTGTGCGATCCTCATTGCCTGGTTGCTGTTAAGGTCCCCCATCTTAGCTGTCTTGTCACAGGACAAGACGTGAAGACTTTGCTTCCATCCTATATAAACAGAAAAGTATATCATCAGACCCTGGAATCCAGGTATTTGATATTCCCATTTCCAAGACACCGACATAGCATTGTTTCTCATTGCCCATCCAGCATCTTAAATGTATTGTAGTTATAAGGCAGTAGCTGTGTGAACAATAGTATGTTCATAATTCTCTGGGCTTGCAGTTCTAGTGTGTTATGCCAGGCTTACATCACTCCAGCAGGCCTTAGGGACGGTCTGCACATTGTCCTGCACCTCCCTGCGCTGCACCTTTGGTCAGGGGGCACACAGAGAACAATTCAGACCAGTCTGAGCTAGAACACGTCTCACATTCAATAGGCTTACCAGGGTTGCCTCAGCTACTCAAATGGGAATCACTGTCACTTTTGTATGGATCAGTGGAAATTCTAAACTGTGACAAAATAGACTACATCTTAGCTAAATGTAATAGTTATCATGTCTGACGGATGTGGGTGGGTGGGTGGTGGAGAGGTCATATGGAGTGTCAGAGATGGTCTGAGATAAATAAACATTAGGGGCATGTGCTAACCACATCGACAGGGCTGTAGTGGAGCAGGTCGAGAGCTTCAAGTTCCTTGGTGTCCACATCACTATCATGGTCCAAACACATCAACAGTCGTGAAGAGAGCACAAAAACGCCTCTTCCCCCTCAGGAGGTTGAAAGGATTTGGCATGTGCCCTCAGACCCTCAAAGTTCTACAGCTGCACCATTGACAGCATATTGACCGTGGCTGCATCACTGCTTGGTATGGCAACTGCTTGGCATCCAACCGTAAGGCGCTACAGAAGGTACTGAGTATTGCCAAGTACATCACTAGGGCCAAACTCCCTGCCATCCAGGACCTCTATACCATGCAATATCAGAGGATGGCCCTAAGAAGTGTCTTAGACTCCTGAACAGCTTCTACCCCAAGCCATAAGACTGTTGAACAGTTAATCAAATGGCTACACTGACTATTTGCATTGACCCCCTTTTTATTTGCATTGACTCTTTTGCACCGGCTCTATGCACACTCACTGGTCTCAACCCACACATACTACATTGACACTCCAACACACACACACACACACACACATGCGCATATTGACGCCACACACACACTCACACACAGAAACACATTCACTCTCTCTCACTCTTCACATACGCTGCTGCTACCCTGTTTGTTATCTATCCTGATTGCCTAGTCACTTTTAACCCTACCTACATGTACATATTACCTCAATTACCTCATACCCCTGCACATTGACTCGGTACAGGTACTACTTGTGTATATAGTCTCACTATTGTTATTTTATTGTGTTACTATTTCCTTTTAAAATTCTTAGCACATTTTTCTTACTTTTTAACTCTGCATTATTGGGAAAGTGCTCTTAAGTAAGCATTTCACTGTAAAGTTAGTTTACCGTGTATTCAGCGCATGTGACGAATACAATTTGATTTGATTTAACCCTCATAGGATTGTGGCTGTCTGTCGTTGAGCTTCCAAAAACATTGCTTCCTCCAGTTCCAAAACCGGTGCCTGTCCCAAATAAACTAACTTAGAAGCCAAGTAGAGTTGTGCTAAATAGAGAATAACAAGACAGCAACATAACAGATAAACCATCTCTGAAATAGCATCCTGTTGTGCAATGCGTTGACAGGCCAAATATTGACTAAAACCTGCCCCCTAGCTGGCAACCCAGCACTAGCATAACAATAACACCAGAGATGGGGAGAATCTCAATTGGTTTGCTCGCCTCCTCTCCTCTTTCCTCCGTCCTCGCCTCTTTTTGAAAAAGGTCACAGAGGAGAGGAAGCAAAATGCACTTGTGTGAAATGACTCTCCTTCTTTCAGTTGAGAACACAACCTGTGTTTTTTTCTAGAAGGAAGGTTGGGGAGGAAATATGCTTGTATGGAAGGAATCTGGAGAGGGTGTGAGGGTTTAGTTTCCTGGGGGTCTGGTTTGACACTCGAATGACATGGGCGGAGCATATTAACAGAGTAGTTATCAAATGAAAATAAAATATTGAATGTGATGAGTTGCTTGTCTGGAAGTGTAGCATATGGCTCAGCAGCTCAGACATCTTTAAAAAAGCTAGATGTTATCCAGGCCCAAGCCCTAAGAATATGTTGTGGAGCACTCAGGACCTCCCAAGTGGCAGCGATGCAGGTAGAGTTGGGAGAGATGCCGTTAATGTTCAGAAGACAACAGCTAGCCATTGGGTAAATCTACAAGGACATAAGGTTACACATCCTACAAAAAAGGTGCTCCTAGAGCGCTGGGAACAGGAACACAATCTGAAAACAAGCTTTGGGTGGATAGGCAATGGTATGGCGAGAGAGATGGGGTTATTTGGGAGGGAGTTTAGTCCCTTTGTGGTTATTCCTGCTATCCCACCTTGGTTTCTCCCTCAGCCAGTGATAGATCTAGGGTTGCTTGAGAGGGTAAGAGATGTTGAGGAAGGAGTAGATTTGGTTGTAAGTGAACATTTAAGAACACAATACTATGCTTTCTTGAATATATTCACAGATGGATCTAAGGATCCTAGAAGACAGGCGCAGTTTTTAGTGTTCCTGAGTTTAAGGTGACAGTGAAAAAAAAGGGCAATGGATCATTTATCTGTTTACACAATGGAGTTGTTGGCTATACTATTGGCTGCAGAGTGGGTGGAGGAGGTGTGGCCAGACAGGGAAGTCATCTGCTCTGACTCCTGTGCAGCACTGACGAGCTTGAATTAATTTATGTCTCAGAGCAGACAGGATGTATTGTATGAGGTTTTGCAGTGTTTGTATAGGGTGAGACAGATGGGGCTATTTGTGATGTTCCTCTGGGTAACAGCTCATGTGGCAGAAGACGTGAATGAGGAGGTGGATGTTATCGCCAAGCAGGTTCCTAAACATCCTAATGTTGAGATGGAATTTTCAATCAGTAAAGCAGAAGCCAAGGGGTTAACAAAAACAGTGGTTAAAAACAAATGGCAAGAGTGTGGAACAGGGAGAGAAAGGGAAGACTCCTGTATAAGATCCAGGAAAAGGCCGGGGCAGGGAGGTCCTCAGGTTGAGAGAGAAGGGAGGAAAGTGTAATCACAAGGATGAGACCGGGACACACAAGGCTCAATAGTACATTGAAATTGGTGGGGAAGCATCCGACTGGGAGGTGTGATCATTGTCAGGAGGAGATGGAGACAGTGGAACATGTTCTATTTCAGTGCCAGAAATATGGGAGGGAAAGGGAGCTATTGCTATTTTTATTTGAGGAGTAATTGGGCTGAAGAGCCAGGATTAACTGAACTGCTAGGGAAATCTTCATGGGATGTAGTATTTAATTATGTATTTTGTTTCCTTAGGGAGATATTGGGTAGGATTTAGACCATCACTGTCTCTGGTCCATACTTGAGTCCAGTTGGTGGCGGTAATGCACCTTAAAGTTGGTTGCCAACCGCCATATAAAATCCACAGAAGAAGAAGAAGAAGAAGCGACTCTCGAAAGAGCGAGGGAAGGGGTGAGAACTCAAAAATGGCTTCCCTTTAGAGGGCAAGAGCAAGATGTATGTCAGGAGAAGTGCAGTATTATCATAAGGAGATGTATACTTGGAATACTGAGGTGTGGCAGAGGAGGTCGAAGAGAGAGAGGGAGGAAGAGGGTGACCTTGAATCGGTTAAAAATTGTGGGAAAAAGGGTCATGGTTTGTTAAAGAAGAATGGTAGAAAGTGTGAGCAGATTGAGCTGTACGCCGGATCGAAGAAAGGAGGAGAAATGGAAGTGAGTGAGGGCGAAGTATCGGAGGGGGTAGGTGTGGTGAAGTTCTCGGAGCCTGATGCTTGCACCGAGGGTCAGGATAAAGATGAGTCTGTGACGGTAGGTGTGACATTTTTGGAAAAAGTGGACCCTTGCCTTTTGGTTCATCCATTTGTGGTTTCAGGGTGGGTGAAAACAGAGTTGGGTGCTGTGGAATCGGTGAAGGTAACCAGAAGTAGTCTGGTGATAATTGTTTGTGTTTCTGCTGGTCAGAGGGAGCAGGCGCTCCGCGTTAAACGAATGGGGACAAGAGATGTGAATAGTTTTGCTCTCAAGAAAAGGGCACCATTGAAAGGAGTGATTACTGGGGTAGTGGTAAATGTGAAAGTTGACCAACTGAATGCGAAGATTCCCGGTGTTTGATGCTCATCGTTTGGTGCGATGCAGACAGGGTGGCGTGAGTGGTGAAACAGAAGAGTCGTCTGTTCTTTTGAGTTTTGATGTTGAGTCTTTACATTTACATTTACCTCATTTAGCAGACTTTGCCTGACAAAGTGATGTTAGGATACATAAGTTATCCCGTACGAGCTTTTGTGCCGAATACATTACGTTGTTACAGGTGTCAAGCTTATGGGCATGTGGCAGCAGTGTGTAGGAGGGAGGTTCCTAGGTGTGAGAAGTGTGCAGAACGGCATGAGACAAAGGAATGTGTAGCATTGGGGAAAGTAGTGGTATGTGTTAATTGTAGGGGTGCCCATTGGGCTGGGGATCAGAAATGTCCGGTGCGAGAAAGGCAGGTTGAGGTTTCAAGGGTTAGAGTAGTGCAGAAGTTGTCGTATGCTGAGGCAGTGAAGAAAGTAGAGGAAGATGGGTCAGGTTGAGGGATCCTGAAAGGAGTTGTGTGAGACATCATTTGACATAAAAAAAATCATTAGAGCCATAAGCCTAGTAGACTACCACAGTATGAGTCATAATACCCATAAAACCTAGCAGTCAAACAGGGAAATGGTTCCAGTAGTTTTTCCACCATTTTTTTTCCCTTAGGGAATTTTAGAAACACTTAAAATAAGGGCTGTGTTTCGTGTAGGCTTACCCTATCGTGATGTTTTGATAACCATGTAAATGTCTCTCGGACAAGATTACGTTTATCAATATATTCGGCTCTATTTACTCGCAGATTCGAAAATGCTAATTAGCATTAAAATAGACATCATGCAAGA